CACACACACACACACACACACACACTATAGTGAGTGTTGTCACCCTAGGACAGGAGGTATGTTATTTGCAATATCACAGTTACAGCATGTAAAGGACTGGTATACTGCAATACATTTCTTGAAGTTACCTTTTGGCCTTTTGTTTTCATGCATTTCATGGCTGGATCTCTTCTGTTATCAATGACCAGTGGAGGCTTCCAGTGATCATAGTTTGTTTCCAGGACATACCATTCACCCTTCTGAGTATCCAGTCTGAAATACAGCAATATACATGAATAACTACTATGGATCAGGGTTATGTATTATCCAATACAGCATGGCATCCTACTACTTTCACTGGTCAGCATATTACTATTTAGCTCCTTGTCTCTTAAAATTGATCTAACATACAGTATAGTTATTTTGTCATTTATTGTTAATAAAAATCCCCTTCCCAAGGCAACAAAGGGGTCATTGTGTACACAGTTTGTGCACAGAGCTCCTTTAGAAATGGCATTTTGTGCTCATGTGACAGGCTGACTGATTTCCCCACAAGCGTGTGACTATGACAGGCAGATCTTCCTCCTCAGCATTTCAGGGAGTGACTAATCTTATTTGAGTGAGATTATACATCAGTTTCAAGAGAAACAGCAGCATGTAGTAGTCTACAGGGAAGTTTGCTGAAATCCTTGTAATGAATTTAGTTGACCTGGACAGGATCCCCGCCCCCCCTCAATAAGAGGAGTCACACAGTAAACTAAATTTGACATGCACACAATCAGGCAGGGCTTTCACAAATACAAAACAATGCACTTTTCACAAGCCTACTTGGGATTTTTTTTTTTAAAGTTTCCTTTAATTTATGGATTACGAAGAAAGAGTGCAAAGCGCTGTAGTAAAGAGTAAAACATTAAAGTGTATGTATAGCATTGAAAAGATAAAAAAAAAAAAAATACAAGGCTCTCGTCATTAAAAATAACTACAGAGAACAAGTCAATTATTCAATAAACTGTGAAAGGTAAACTCCAGGGAATATACAATATCTTTAAGTCCAGTTACGTATTCACTCGAAAAATATTTAATGAACTTGAAATATTGCAATATTTAAAATACATGATAAATATACGATTATCCCTTATTACATAGCTGCTGTTACCGTAACATATCTGGGACACGGAGCTTCCAGGGGTGGGAGGTTTCTGTATGCCAAGGTTTCATATGTGCTGCTGGCAGGACTGCACCTTCATGTGACATGATTCTGTGCACCTTACCTATCAATCCTCTTCTCAGAGACAGCTAAGAGTCTACAATGGGTGTGGATGAGAATCCCTGGCCTGCACATTCACACAGTGCTGTACCAGAGTTTCCAGAACAGTAGATTAGCAGACAATAGTTGGTTTTAAAGGGAACCTGAGAAAAATATAGAGGCCACCACATCTGCCCATTTTGTGAAAATGCTAGTTGCCGGCCTATTTCTGGCTTTGTTACTTCAGACAATGACCTGGAACATGCGTGCAGATTATTCAGGTCAGTTTAGGAACTGTAAAACGTAAAAAAGCAGCACCTGCAAAACAAGAGGGTTTACTCACCTTTCTCATTGCCCAATCTTCACTCCAGGACCTATGGCTGCTTAAAAACTCTTCCAATTCAACACTATTCAGGAGTGTTGGATACCCGTGACCACTGTCAGGTGCTGTAGGTCCTTCAGATGACCCTCCGTACTTTATCCTGTAATGATGTAGTGGCTGTCGCTCAGCAGGAGAGCAAGATCGGAGGAATGGATGGCAGCACAGGCAGCTATACACAATCATCTTTGTAAGTTCAACTATTTAACCGTTTTTACCTCAGAAAAAAATCCCTTAAAAGTAACGGGATCAGCACGACAACCAGGAAACTAGTATATTGCTCACTACAGGTTTCCCGTGAAAACAGTGGAGTGATGTAGCATGCCACAGTTATGAATGGATAACAAGCCCTAGACAGACATATAGGCAGTTCCCCTTTATGCATTCCAAGGTCTAATGTTCAGTTCTAACATTTATTGGATAAAACCTGAGGGAGTACTCACTCCCAGAAATTGATTGAGGATGTCCTGGAGCGTGTGATGACACAGGCCTGGCCGGGCTTGTTACCTCCCAGGATGAAATACGCCGGGGCCAGCATCTCCGTTTTCGATAGAAGATCTTTAGCTTCATCATAACTGCACAGATAGATGGGGAAAAGACAGAACACATTGTTATTAAAATAGGTTTATGAATTATCCGTCTTTGTTAATAAAATTCAATCCCAAACCATTTTAAGAGTGTAATTTGCACTCAAATACTGTAGATTCAGATTAAAGTTAATGCAGATCATTACAAAATCCTAAGGTTGGCAGCTATACTGACATTACCTGAAGGAATATATAAACGATAAAATATAGAATTGGTTGAAGTAAAGGAAAGACTGGTGGAAGTAAACAGGCCAGACTGTATAAAAAACACATTTAGACTGATGATATAAAAGCACACTGGACCCCATACAGAGTAAACACAGAGGGGGAAACCCTCCCCCCCCCCCCCCCCCCCCCCCCCTCTTTTTCTTTTTTTTTGGGTTAGAACTTGTTGGGTCTGTGGGAATGGGAGCTGAGTTGGGTATTCAGGATTTTTATTCAAAGCAATGGTGGGTCCTTGACGGTGCCAAAAAAGGAATGGAACTCGTATTTGTAAGGTTATATTTGGGATGGGTTGTTGTATGCAGGGCCATAACTACAGACCTAGGGGCCCCATAGCAAAAATGTGCTGGAGGCCCAT